ATGGCCTCCAACCCAAGAGCGATGGCCTCCAAGCTAAGAGCGATGGCCTCCAACCTAATAGGGATGGCCTCCAACCTAGGAGTGATGGCCTCCAACCTAAGATCGATGGCCTCCAACCTAAGAACAATGGTCCAACCTAAGAGCAATGGCCTCCAACCTAAGAGCAATGTCCTCCAACCTACTAGCGATGGCCTCCACCCCAAGAGCGATCGCCTTCAACCTAAGAATGATGGCCTCCAACCTAAGAGCAATGGCCTCCAACCTAAGAGGGATGGCCTCCAACCTAGAGACTTAGAAGTGCTCAACAACACTGCTATGCTTTGCTACCCATTTTTGAACTGTGCAACTCTACACCGCACAGCACTATTGAAAGCTTCAATTTGTCACGATCAAAGTTGAGGCAAATGAAGAAGACCCTGCCACACTACAATGGTTCAAATCCCACGATGCTGCTTCAAAGTGCAACTTGCCAGATGTCAGAATAGGGCAGGATGATGCAGCTGTTCCCTTTCTTTGAAACATTCTTGAAGCGGTTAGGACGTCCATTTCCACTGCTTAAGAATGAACACTAAAAAGCTTAAGTTAAAAGTTTTCCAAAACAATTAGAAACACAATGATTAGTGCGAGCGTGAGGGATCCTTCGTCCATATGTAGTAGCTAGCTTGGCCTAGTAGCTTACTTCTCCATTACTTAATCGAGTAGGTAGTCCCTACTTAAATAAGTAGGGAGGCCTCGGGATGTTGTCAATGTGTTTTTCTGTCTCTTCAGTCACCTGAGGATCGCGTCCAGTATGCGCAGCTGAAACCAGCAGTGATGATTTGATGGAAGACTGATGGAGCCACAGACGACTCCCGCGAACAGAGCACGTGAGCAAAAACTGCGACTGGAAGGAGGCAGAAATGAGGTACTGCCACCGTCGTCAACTTGTAGATTCGTTCAGTGGTGGCTTTCTTGCGGCGTTTCCTTTAGAAAGGTGGGGGACCTTGGCTCAGGTGGATTTGCTGTCTGCACCTATGCCACAGTCCTTTCAGCATATGCCATGGCATGAACAGGCCATGTCCGTTTTCTGAATTCCAACATGTTCGCTCTCTCTAGGAACAACAACGCTACTAGGAACAAAGGGCATCGCTACGAACAGAGCAAGGACGCTACTAGGGGTTCCTGGCCTTACTACTAGGAACAAGGACGCTACTAGGAACAAGTGCATCGCTTCTAGCAACAAGTGCCTTACTAGTAGTAACAAGAAGCTACGAACGGGGCTCCTGGCATCGCTACGAACTCTTTTGTTGCTGGAAAGGGCCGAAGGTCCAAAGCGAAGAAACAAAGAGGCAAAAGGACAGAACATGGATTGAACGTATATAAAGCTAGGTATGGCCACCAACCCAGAAAGGAACTCACTTTCTTTCTTTGGAGGCACCACTGATGTATTTGGGCTTGGTACCTTCGGTTTTGGAAGGTCTTTCGCTGCAGGCTGAGCCAGTCAGAATTCCATTGCCGTTTGAATCATTTTCGGCCATTTGCAATTGCAAACAATTTTGCAAAGCAAAGAGTTTTTGGTAAAAAGAAACAATAATTCTTTTAATGTTGCTAGGAGCAAGAAGCTACTAGTAACAAAGGGCATCGCTACGAACGGACCAAGAGGACGCTACTAGGGGCGCTCCTGGCCTTGCTATTGGGAGCAAAGACGCTACTAGGGGCTCCTGGCATCGCTGCTAGGAGGATGCTACTAGGACGCTACTAGTACAAAAACATCATTGTTTTGCGGAGCCGAAGATTCGGCACAATGGCTGAGGTCCAACGAAATGCTGACGCCTGGCTATGACTTGCATGTGGTACTCCTGAGGTGCAGAAACCATTTGCAAACGACAGAACAACCACATCGCAGACTTCAGCACATGGTGTAGTAAACGCCCATGATGCAGGTAGTTTAGGATCACATGCAAGAGTATTGTGTAGAAATAGACTAAGAAAAATCATATCTACTACATGTCCAATGAAGCAAGATGCCAACTCATCGCAAGACTTCCAAGAGCTTGCTAGGTGAGCGTGCTAGTAGCGAAATCCTGAGAAATCGGCAGAGCTAGGGCAGTCTCAACTAGTAAACTAGTAAGCTGACTGGTACATTAAGCATATTGAGGTAGCGAACTATTATTTGAACTTACTAAGCTTGTTACATCTGCCATGTCGGGATAAAGGCCAAGAATTCTGTGAGGCAGAGGGCTTTGAATTCCTACCCTCAAGAGTGCCAAAGCCCAGTGACACCGTGAGGAGGCCGTGACGTTTTGAAAACGAGAGAATTATGTTTCATTAGCAGGTGCCTTACTAGTAGTAACAGGTGCCTTACTAGTAGTAACAAGAAGCTACTGATCAGAGGAAGGGTGTCCTTGAAGAAGCTTGAGCCTCAATGATTTGATCCTTTTGGGAAACCTTGAGCACAACGTGTCCAACTCATGTTTCGTGCCTTTTGCACAGAGTTGCACGATGCCAAGCCGATTGCTGGCCTCTTTCCGGCGTGTGTCGCACAGCACGGCCGTGGCACTCATGTGACGTGTTTCCGTTGAGTGGCTGAGGTTGGTGCAGAAGACTCAACATGCTTTGGTACCCCCGGCCTTGGGGAACGAGCGACAGCAGTTTTCAGCATTCACAGGTGGTCCATAAAAGGTTATATAAGGCAGAGGAATTTAGAACATACTTGCTTGTTGAGTTGAGTGCATTGCAAATTGTAAGGGGTAGTGGGCATTTGGCTTTGTAGACCTTAAGTAGTTATTCTTGTAGAAACCCAAGAGACCCCAAACTGGTGCAGTTTGTACTCGTCAGCTACTCAATTACAAAGTTCTTCGTTAAGACTCGGTGCAGTCTAATTCAAGCATATACTGTACAAATGCCAGGGGCTACACTAGTAGCTTCTTGCTCCTAGTATTAATGGCCTCCAACCTACTAGCGATGTCTACTTCAAGGATATACGGTATATATAACTACTGTCCTGTTTCATTCTCCTGTAACTAGTCTAATTACGCGTAGCATTCTCAGTGTATCTGTGTCCTCCCTCGGCTACGCTGCGCAGCCTCACGAGGGCTTTCAGGATGGTGTCCCAACCTGAGTTGACAGGGAGGATGTTCTTCGACGTTTATGATGATACACATCAGATTGTTTACATTTTTGTACTTAAAGTAAGATTGTTTTTTCTTGTCCTTTTTAACATCATATTTATACTTTGTCTTTTTTCTTTTCAGGTCGTTCCGGTTTCCAAGATGAGACAAAACTTTAGTCCTTTGGAACTCATCCTTTTCAAACTTATTCTCCAAATTACCATTGGACTTCTTTTGTTCAAAAGCTACTTTTCTTATCTTCTTTTGTTTTCCTTGTGCGTATTTCTACATGCTTTAGTACCCTATTACCCTCGCGCACCTGCTCTTACGCTGAAAGAGAAGATGAAGCCCGTCTTTAGCACTTTTCAGTTCAGTTGTCAAAGTTGTCATCTCCCAGAAGCAGGTTGGAGGCCATCGCTAGGTTGGAGGCCATTGAATTCTAGGAAAAAGTGGTCTCCCAGGATCTTGTCATCTCCTTCAATGGTTGTTCTTCCGTTCTCGGGCGGGAGTTCTGCGAGGACCGGAACGTCAAGCTCCACACACGCAGGTGTTTGTGTTCTGTGCTCTTTGCTCAAAGAGCACCTCCGAAGGTGCTCAGGTTTATTGAAAGATTCCTTCCGAGATGGATATGGTCTGTGGCTTCAAGTTCTGCCTAGAAGAGTAGTGTAAGCCCATATCAGACCAAAGGTGCAATCATCCTGCTTGATGCACAGAAGTGCCTAGATCACGGAGGACTTTCCAGGTGTTGCGTTCTAGGTGAACAAAGTTTGCAGGATATGTATCAGCGCTACCATGACGAGTCTTGCCGGCATGCATTTATTTCAAAGCAGTGAAGTTCAGTCAGGGGCAACCCAGATGTCACGGTACTTTGGCCTGCCTGAAGATTTCTCCAGGACAAAGGTAGCAGCCTTATTGATTTTGTTGCTACTTTTTGAAAGAACGCGTTTGCAAAGCTACTAGGAACAAGAAGCTACTAGGGGCTCCTGGCATCGCTACTAGGAGCAAGGACGCTACTATGGGCTCCTGGCCATACTACTAGGAGCAAGAAGCTATTAGTAACAAGTGCATCGCTAGTAGTAACAAGTGCCTTACTAGTAGGAGCAAGAAGCTACTAGTAACAAGTGCCTTACTACTAGGAGCAAGAAGCTATTAGTAACAATAGTAACAATGTTCATGTTCCCGGGTTCTTTGTTCCAGTCCTTGAGGCCAAGGTGCAATTTCGACTCTGCCGATTCGTGTCAATTCAATGCTTTTAAAACGTTCCTTTCATTCCTTTCTTTGTGTTCTTTTTCCTTAGACTTCTTTGGGTATCGGATATATATATATATAACTATACAATCCTTTTTCTTTGTCCTTTTTTCTATTCTGCTTCAAATCCAGCAGATGCCAGGTCGATCTTGCGCCTGACAGACAGTTTGCTTGACGAGAAGCGTGTCCACAAAAGACTGTGCCGACTCCGATCCTTGTTCATTTTGATAGTTTAACGAAGTTGCAAGTTGGAGCCTTTTTTTTCTTGGCATGTTCGTCATTCCCTAGCTTTGGCTTTTGCAGTCAAGACCGATATGGCATATTCAAAGCCCTGAGCTTCCAAGTACAAACACAAGTGACACTAAGCACAGCCCCTCAGAACATTCCATAAGCAATATTCTTCACCATTGCGAAGGGCTGTTCGAGGCTTCTTCCACTGGGGCAGAATGCAATGCTCCTCGGACGAGCGCGAACTTTCACAAGCTACCTCTCACTAGCGGAAGAGCGCAACGCTTTTTGGAAGAATTAGGTTGGAGGCCATCGCTACAAAGTTAGTAAGTAGAAAGTAGAGCCCCTAGTAGCTTCTTGTGGCACACAATGACTTGTTACATTCATGACTTTGAACCGGCTGCCGACCTCATCTGCTGCGCGATTCTGCTCCCTTGTGCGCGGGATCAGCAGCAAGCCACCTGGCAAGCGGATTTGGTTTGGGGCCGTGTGTGGTGTTTGCAAGCTTCAATGTTGAGAATGTGGTAGTTGGTTCAAGTTGATTAGATGATGTGAACATGAATAAAACATAATAAAACTTCACATGATTCAAACCTGTTTGACGGGTTGGAGATTCTTCTCTTCTGCCACGTTGATGATTGAAATAAGTTATATAAGCTAGTTTCGTATTGCCAAAGCACAAAGGGCGGGCACAGCGGGTTGATGGTGGCATTGCGAAGAGCGCGTGCCAGGAGAGATTTCTTTCAGAGGATTGACCAACAGTATTTGGCCAAGGAACTCAGTTACATCCCGCTTTGTCGCAAAGCAGACTGGACCACAAGCGGGAAACAACCCAAGTGTTTGGTGATTTCAGGATCCTTTTGTGTCACGCCTGGCTTACAAGTGCATTTGCAGGAATTGAAGGACATTGCGAAGTCTGGCCGAGACGGGGAATTGCCAGATGCGACCCTTTTTGATCCGAAGGCACGAAGCATCACGAAGCGACATGAGAACTCCAACACTGACTTTATCATCCAAATGTTCTTTCCTGTGGAAGTCCGAATTCTGAGAGATTGTAGAAGGCTGCGATTCTTTTTGGTGAAATTGCAAGAAGGCTTTTGAATGGTCTTTGGCTGTGGTGCCTTACCCCGTGTTACTCGCAAGAAAGCTCCTACAAGAATCTACTTTCAGTGTCCCACAAAATATGTCTAAGACGTTTGCTGGGAGCTAGTAGGTTGGAGGCCATCGCTTCTAGGTTGGAGGCCATCGCTACCAGGTTGGAGGCCATTGCTACCAGGTTGGAGGCCATTGCTTCTAGATTGGAGGCCATCGACAGTAGGTAGGAGGCCATCTGGCCATTGCTACTAGGTTGGAGGCGTTTTTCTTTCTTTTTTATTTCTGGTTGGATTGCCCAAAAGGCTGGCCTTAGGACACGGACTTCAGTACTCCTTCTCGACAAGAACACAAGAGAGCTTTCCTTTATGCTTTTTTCTCTTCCTTTCATCAGCCGTTGATTTTTCTTTGGTGCTTTTCTGAACTGTTCTGCATTGTTTTCGAGAACGCTTAGAGCACTTTTATTCGTTCCTCTTTCTTGTGAAGCCCCTGCGACCGTGCGGCCCTACTGGCTGCCAGATCCGCTTGCGCCCGATGCGGCGGCTGAGCATGGCGGGGCCATTTTGGGTTAGAGAAAAGACACAAGCACTGTAGCATTCTGTAGCTACAAAAAAGAAAGACAACAGAAAGAGGGAACAAGAAAGACTCTAGACAAAAGATCAAGAGAAATAGAAAAACAACAGTACAGAATAGAGAACATGTTCTTCTAAGAACAGAGTATGCTGTATGCCAGGCATGTCTTTGGACTCAACTACCCTTTACAAGAGAAGTTGTTCTCTTTGTGCTCAAAGTGCAGGCAGCCGCTGAAGCAGAAGCAACCAGAGCCTTTTCCGATGACCAGGCCTTCTCTGGGTGCTGGAGTCTGCTTTGTGAAGCTACAAAGCGGGAGGATTTTTCTTTTGCTTTCTGTTGTTCTGAACTTTTACTTCCTTTTTTTGTTTCTATTTCTTTTAAACTATATATATATATATATTTGTATTTATTTTTTAAACATTCATTTCAATTTCCTTTTGCTTGTTTTGTTAGTTTTGCTTCATCTTTTTAAAGTATAGTTCCTTTCCTTTGTTCGGATTTGGGAGGCAGACTTTCCGAAAAGCCCAAAAACCAAGCCCTGGCTTCACTACGAAAGCCTGCGTGGACAAACATATCCTTCAGGCACACAGTGCAACGCTTCGCAGTCGGATTTTCAGGGTGGAATTGGTTTCAATTCATCGGTTCCATTCTGGAAAAGTGCAGTTGACAGTGCAAGAGCCGCCAAATGCTCTCAAATAAACGGCTTCATCCTTTTGACCTAAGCCTTCTTCTTGAACAAGAAAAGAGCAGACATGAAAGTAAAGCAACGAACAGAAAAGCAACAGACTTTGCTAACTTCGTGGAGGAGGCTTTGGCCCTCGCTATCGAGACCTTACGCATGCAGAAGCACAGCGACTTCAGGAGCATGGGATTGTGGGGTTTGCCAATCGCACTTTTTGCCTACTTTTTTTAGTGACCCTTTGCGGGATGATAGCAACAATGATCAAAGGCTTTTCTTTAGTGTGACAACAGATAAGCATGCTATGCATTCCCTCTTATGTACTCGAGTTCAATCACATGGTCATTCATTCTATGAACCTGTATAGAGAACAATGACAAGGTTGTGAACATGGGATAATCCGAGAAGGTGAACGTGCAAGCCTGTGACTTTCCAAGAGTGTTGGAGGCCATCGCTCCTAGTAGCTTCTTGCTCCTAGTAGTAAGGTCAGGAGGTTCTAGTAGCTTCTTTCCAAGAAAGCTCTTGTTGGGCTCTACATGTGATAGATCGTCCCTTTGACTCTAGAGGCGCAGAGGGCACTTTGACGAAAGGCAAGTCCTTTAGGCCGACAAGATGCAAGATCAAACAAAGTCCTTACACAGCAATGTGCGAAGACATACAGTACTAATGTGCATTTGTGTTGCTGCATTCCACTGGATGACTGGGACAATGAATGTTTGATATGACAATGCTTATTGCTGGATGAAGCAAAGATTTCGGGCCTTTCTTATGCAGAATGCTGAGCCCCTTGCATGTTCAGGAGATGTACATGCGCAAGAAGATGATGGATCGAAAGATTCTGTGGACTCTCGATTTTTATATAACCGGAATGGGAACAGGGTGCGGGTTCGGAAGGGAGCTTCAAGCCGGTCGAAAAAAAGAAAACAACAACAAGTAATCCAAAGAAAGGAAGGAATGCTATCATAGCAAGATGTGTCAGGGCCAATGGGGCAAGACACCAACTGATTAAGTGACAAGTCTATTTGGATGCAGGATACCTGATCAAATACGCTCGGATGTCCAGGATTCATCCTCACTTGCTTAGCTGGATGATTGATGTGAAGGTTTATTGTTTGAGGGTGCCGCAATTCAACGACATGTTGGGGGCATCACACCGCTAGTACTATGGGTGCTACTAGTAACATGACAAAATAAGACCACTAATTGCTTTGGTCACAAAGACAGGAATGAAAGAAAGAAAAGGGAAAGAACAGACAAGGACAGAAAGAAATATCAAAAAGTCTGAGGGCAAGAAGGCAACAATAATGGCTAGTAACAGCCAGCAACAGCAGTAGCCTAAAACCTACTAGTGATGGCCTCCAACCCAATAGTGTTGGCCACCAACCTAATTGTGATTAGTAACAGCAGTAGGGTTAAGTAACGGATGTCTCTTCACTAGTGTGTGGCCTTTTTGTTGTCGTTGTCGAAACCGCCTCCAGTTTCCCGTCTTTCGGGGTGAGGCTGAAGCAGTCCCAGTTGCCGAATCCGCAGAAAGATGCCAAAATGACGCTTCGGCGACTGCGGAAACAAGAAGAGCAGGACGGACACGACGAGTGGAGGCCATCGCTCCGTTCGTAGCGAACATTGCTCCTAGTAGCGATGCCAGGAGCCCCTTGTTCCTAGGACTCCAAAAGGAACACATCTCATTGGCTTCACATTAACAGATGCGAATGTTGGAGTCAAGGCTAAGGTCTTTGGCAACCATTGTTCTATGTATGTCGAAAGCCCGCAAGTTGCCACATTGCCAAACAATGAGTTCGCCAAAGTGTATCAGCGAAGAACAAAATCACTCAGACTTCCTTGAAGCCCTATACTATAGCCCTATAGCCTGCGTCGAAGATAGGAAGCTTCAAAACCTCCGAGTAGCGGCTACTAGCCTAGACCTACCTGCCGCTACCTGCCTACCTCCTCACTTAAAACTTATGAGCTCACCTCACGGCCTACCCGGGCCTAACTGGTCGGTGCACATTACCAGGTCTGAAGAAACTTCTCTTGTTGATCCTGTGTATTCTGGAAGTGCTTGCAAAATACCGCTAGCAATGTCAAGGGCACAGGTCTACGCAGCAAGCCTGCAAACATGCCGATGACAAAGTGTCAAGTTTAAAGGATACTGTAGTAACAGGTGCCTTACTAGTAGTAACAAGGAGCTACTAGGAACAAGTGCCACGCTACTAGGAACAGGTGCCTTACTAGTAGTAACAAGGACGCAAGCTCATACAAAACTCACGACAAAACACGATGTGTCAGACTTGGGCCAAGGGAGTTGAAGCTTGCTTGCAGGAAAAAGCAGCTGGTGATGGTGGTGACATGTATCCACTGCCATTTGAGGACGGGGAAGAAAGCAACGCGTGACAGAAGCACACCGCCTAGTAGCGTCCTTGCTCCTAGTAGCTTCTTGCTCCTAGTAGGGATGCCAGGAGCCCCTAGTAGCGTCCTTGCTCCTAGGAGCGATGCCAGGAGCCCCTAGTAGCTTCTTGTTGAACGCCGTGTGACACTTTTTGTTGAAGTCCTTTGAACAGGACATCCATCCCGGCAGCCCAAAGCTACAACGAATGGAAGAACAAGCTCGCTTGGTTGAGTTGGAGAGTCGCTTCAGGCCGACGAGCCAAAGCAGCCCTTTTCTTTTTCAAAGCCCGTTCCTTACTTAGTTAAGTAGGTGCCTACTTAATTAAGGGAGTAGTTCGCTACTAGAAACTTGTTCGCTCCTACAGATGGACGCAGGATAGCTCACGCTTCTTCAAGGAAGCTCACCCCACCGCCTTAAGGGCCGCAGGGGGAGCTTCCTTGAAGAAGAGCTGGGACTAATCATTTCATTCCTATCTTTTTTGGGAAACTATATTTACAAATAGCTAGCAGGTTGAAGGCCATCGCTATTAGGTTGAAAGCTAGGGGTTCTAACAATTCATCTCAGAAATGCCAAAGAACGCGTTCTGGTGGACATTTCCAGCCTAAGACTGCTCTTTTTTCTTCGGCGTGGGGGAGGTGAAGGTGGGTGGGGGCAGAAGGCAGCTCATTAAGAAGATTGGCACGTAGGAAACTACTAGTGTTGCTACTAGCGTTACTAGTAGCTTTCGGATGTATAATATGGCTTGAACGGCTCAGGTTCTTTATACGGGAAGTTTCCTTGAACTCTTCGCAATGGTCGCAACGATTCCTAGATGTTCAGATTGCTATTGGGTTGGAGGCCATCGCTATTTGACTCTTCCTGCCCGGCCCTGCCCCACCCATCGCTTCTGTCTTTCAGGGCACGAATCCGTCAGCAGAAGGTCGAGAATGCGCGCATCGTCAAAGCTAATCAACCCAAGGCGGAAGACATCACAAAGTAATAGCAAGCTTTTTTGTTCATGGAGCTCTCAATATACTAAGAATCGGAATTTGTTTAAAGATATTTGGCATTATGGTGCTTTTGCTTTTTGCCTGGCTTTTTGCAGGTTTTGGTAAGTACTCCTGACCAACAAGAGTTTTCTATTCTTTCTCTTACTACTTTTCTGCTTTCATTCTTGGTTGTTTTTAAAGTTTTCTTTAGACGTCTTTCTTTTTTGAACCGGCCCTTCCACCTGTGAGGTGGGAGAACTGGTGCTTGATCCTATCCAGCGCCATGTGCACCGACGCCTGGTGCGGCAGCGCGAGAAGATCCATGCGGGGTTGGAGGAGTGAAGCGAAAGAAAAAGGCAAACGTGACTCTAATAGAAACAAGTGCATCGCTAGTAGTAACAAGAAGCTACTAGAAACAAGTGCATCGCTAGTAGTA